CATAATTTTGGATTTTTTATATATAATTATAACTTTTTATCCCATAATTAGTGGCACAATCAGCCTCCATTAAAGGATTGAACTCTGGTTTTAGTGATTTGAGGTGAATTTCTTAAATATTCCCTTTTTAAATATTTTCCACCCAGATAAGAGTTTCTATTTGTAGGTTTAACTGTGTAAAACAGGCGATAACGAAGTAAATAATTAACATTTTGAACTCAAACAGCCACAGGGCGGCCGGGCGATGTGGCAACTGTTTGTACTGTGACGAGATTAAAGTCAGATTATCATTTCTGCGTCACAAATTCAATTTTCCACTAAAGCAAACCTCAAAAGTCTGATGATCGTTCGCACAGATGGTGAAATGAACGACATGTGGCAGAAGTGAACCGCTGTCTGTCTGCGGTGAATAAACACACGTGTGGATTTAGATGGACACACAAAAAGGATTACTATGGAAGTCAATTTACGGCAGCAGAATAAAGAGATTAGCCTTAATTAATACGTTTTTAAAAGTTAACGTTAAGTCACAATTATGAGATTTTGACTTTTAACTCATAGCTCATAATTTTGACTATTTATCTCATAATTAATGACTTTTTAACCAATAATTATAACTTTCTATCTCATAATCGCATAATTATATCTTTTTATCCCATAATTATGTCTTTTATATCATAATTATGACTTTTTAATCACATAATTATGTCTTTTATCACATAATTATGTCTTTTATATCATAATTTTGGACATTTATCTCATAATTATGACTTTTTATCTAATAATTAATGACCTTTTAACCAATAATTATAACTTTCTATCTCATAATCACAAAATTATGACTTTTTATCTCATAATTTTTAATATTTATCTAATAATTAATGACTTTTTAACCAATAATTATAAATCTAATCTCATAATGTCGACTTTTCTATCTCGTAATCTCATAATTATGTGTTTCTATCACATAACTAAGGTCGTATGTCTTTCTATCTCATAACTTCGACTCGACAGAAACATGTTTCTTTATTGAAAGTTAAGTTTAATAATAATTTATTTATGTTCCTGCAGGCGGAAACGATCTTCCACAGCTCACAGTTTCGTTATAACAGAAGAAAGACAGGAAAAGGTTCAACACACTGACTGCCAATGCTCATTATTACCATTAATATCATTAATATCATCATTATTATCATTAATATCATCATTAATATC